TCTTCCCTTTGGGTTTTAGGCCTTCACAGAAGACCCTCTACCTGATATGGTCATGCTGTGTACTGCCCCCCACACCCGGACACACACACACACACACGCACGCACGCACGCACGCACGCACACGCACATGTACCCCAGCGCCCTGGACAACCACAAACCCAATATTCTGCTCCTGCGGGGTTTCTGACTTCATGAGTGGGATCAGACGGTATCTGTCCTTTTGTGACTAATTTCACTCAGTTTGATGTTGTCATGGCTCCTCTGGAGGGAGGCATCCGTGTGACCTCCTGGCTTCTCTTGGTGGCTGATGAATACTCCATTGTGTGGATGGACCACGCTGTGTTTCCCCATCGTCTGTTGGTGGGAGTGGGGGTGGTGTCCACCTTCGGCTGTTAATGAGGTCTTCCCTGAGCACGCATGAACAAGTACTGGCGTGTGCTCAGAACACATGTTTAAGGCTGACAGGCAGTAGGAGGCAGGTCCTGAATGGAGACGTAGGTTCCTGAGCTCCTGGTCGAATGCCTGCCCCTTGACGGCATGAAGTTGAGGGGCGCAGCCAGCAGGTCCGAGAGGCGGTGGTGGGCACGTGCCAGGCCCTGCCTGTGTCTGAGGTGATTCTAACACTGAATCAAGCCCAGAAAAGGGCTGCTGAGCCGCACCCCTTCCAGATGTTCCCACAAGTTTACCATCAGGCACATCAGCCACATGGCCAGGGCCCTTCAGGACCCACTGAGGGGGCTTGCCTCCTCCCCTGCTTAACCATGAGTGCTGATGCACACCCTGCACACACTCTCACTCAGCCCAGCAGACACTCCACTTCTGCGCCACACACACAGGGCCCCTGCCCACGTGGCATAGAGAGGCACACCCCTGCACATACTTTGCCGCACACTGTCTTACACACACACACACACACACACACACACACACACACACACACTTTTTAAAAATTTTAAGCTGAGGAAACAAGAGTGCAAGCTCCAGCCACATAGCTCGTGGGAAGTGCTAGGTTTGGGATCCAAACTTTATGAAGTTTGACTGCAGAGCCCACGTACGGAATTCAGTGCTGGTGAAGGGCTCAAATGTCTGTGGGCCTGGCAGGGCCTGTAGATGAATGAAATAAGCCAGTAGACACAACAGGGAGTGGGTGGGTGGATGCGGGGGTGGGGGTGACTGTGGTCAGTCAGAGAGCGCTTGCCCTGTCCCTGGACAGACCCACTCACTAATGGTTGGCAGGCTCAAATTCAGGCCAATGCACTCACATTCCTCCCTTCCCCCCAGCATCCCCCAAGACCTAATACTGGAAAGCTATATTGGAAATACCTTGATTTTTCAAATGCTGGAAACAGATTCCTCAAAGAAAGCTGCCCAGACCAGACTATAAGCAGAGGTTTAGATGTTTGCTTATCGCAGCCTGTGTAGAATCTAGAAGGGTGCCTACCACAGAGGGGCTGCTCAGTCAGTGTCTGTGAAGTAGATAAATGAAAGTCTGGGCGGCATTCCGTTCTCAGGTTGCCAGATCTCCTCTCTCCTCTTTACTGCCTTCCCCAACTATCTTTGAGGTCTTGTGACTTCCTACCCCTGACCAGACCATCTTTCAGTTAGGTGTGGTGTCAAATTCTCTTCAGGGTAAAATGCTTTTGGTTTGACTCAATCATTAGACTGGGCTTCTTTTTATTATTATTCAAATTTTGATAAAAATAGACACATAAATGATAAATGCATGTATGGATATATTTATCCATTTTGACATGTACAATTTGGTAACATTGTTACATTCGGACCAGGAGGCTTGTTTTCTGTTGTTGTTTACTATTGAGTAGCAATAGTACATCTGAGATCTGAGATTTACATCCGAGATGGCAAGATTTCTACAAATGTGTATAGTGATCTTTATGTGTAAAGATGTGTACAATAATATTACTAACTTATGGTCATAGTGTGAGGAGCCCTGGAGGCATCCTGTTTTTGAGTTGGGCTGCTACTGCAAGGTCAGCAGTTTGAAACCACCAGTCAGCTCCATGGGAGAAGGGTGGTGCTTTCTACTCCTGTAAAGAGTTACAGTCTCAGAAATTAACCAGGTAGTTCTTCCCAGTCCTATAGGGTCACTATGAGCAATCCTTGCCTCAGTGGCAGTGAGTTTGAATTTTGTTTTGATTATAGTGTGTGAAAACCTCCACATGACCTTGTCCTACCCTTCGAAGAGAAGTAACAAGGTTTTCCAGCCAACCTGCCTCACAGAGTCAGTGAAGAACCAGAAACTGATGCTGGGTACCCTGGCCCCTGGCTTTTAACTGCTTTGTGAAGAGCATTCTTAGAGTGCTGATTTTGCACTGGCTGAAATTTAGAGTTATCCAGATAAAGTACAGGTTGTCCAGCATCCAAACGAGCCAGGGGCAGCTGAGTCAACCCTGACGTGATAACATCGGAAGAGAAATGAGCTCCATAGGCTTTGAAGCAGCTGCCAGGCCTTTTTTCTTCGATTCTTTCTTCTGGTGGATTGCAACATCTCACCAGCAGCACAGCTGCCGCACACCCTCCTGAGAGAACCCATGGAATCTGGGTCGACTTTTTAGTGAGTCAGAGAAGGTAGGTGAGCTAGGGAATGTTGATGCGGATGTGAGCTTCTCTGTGGGAAGCTGAGATCATCTGATGCTGGCAGAATTTAGGGAACTTTGAAAAGAGATCAATTAAATGAATGCCTCCCCCCAAAAACACGAGTAAATGATCCCTCCTCTCTCAGGCACTCTGCTGGTATGGTGGTCATGTGTTCGGCAGCTGACCACAGGGTCCACAGTTGGAAACCACCAGCCCTTCTGGGAAGAGAGATGATGCTTTCTCCTCCCGTGAAGAGTTACCATTTTAGAAACCCACAGGGCTGGTTCCACCACGTGCTGTTGGAGGCTGTGAATCGGTGTCAACTCCAGGGCAGTGGGCGTGTTCTCGCTCTCTCTCCACTATGAGGATGCTTACAAACGCTCATGGGAAATGGAGTAGATCAAGGAGGGTGTCCACCAACTTTTTGAAGCCTCTCTGGATTGTTTGTTGGCCCTGACTGGATCAAAATAAAGGTGATAGAATCACCTTGGTGAGAAACCTTTCTCCAAATCCAGGAGAAGCCAAAATGTTCTTTATGATTACCAATTTGTGGTTTTAGGATCAGAAACTATTACAGATTACTCTTGAACACACCCCTTACAATTTTAGCACTAGGTTTATGGGACACGGAATTTTGATTTCCCCACTGAAAATTAGAGAAGCCGTTTACATTTACCTTCTACCCTTTATGCTGACTTGTATCCACTAAGCAAGGCAAATGTATATCCAAATTCATTTTCTTCTAAGCCTTCTAATTTTCAAATTCTCTGTGTAGTATGCCTATCTCTACGAATACTCATCAATTTGACATGGACGTAGATTAAGTATTAATTCCAGTGCATCAGTTTCATTCGTGAAAACATTTCTTCAGTAATAAATGCAACCAAAAAGTTCTTAGAAAGTAAACATTAAATGTAAAGACAGACAATGCAGTGGAGGTTGTCCTACTGACAAACCCAAACTACCTTCCTAATACATTGAATCCAGTATCTCAAATGTCATATGATGTTAAATATTATAAATGTTATGTAAATATATAGTATCACATATTTTCCTTTATAAGTTAACAGTGTACAATTATATTGTTTTTAAAGAAAATGTGTGCTTGCTTTCACATGTCAATGTGATGTGTGTCCGTAGAGACAGGTATACAAGAAGTGTCCATAACCTAGTATTAATACAAGTGGCCTCCTCCTGATTCAGGATTAATTGGGGGGGAACAACACCAGTGCATATGGTGAGGGCTCAGCCTCTGCGATGTTCTGTGTTGATGCACGAAACCCTAGCTGCAGCCTAGAAACTGAAAACATTCCTGCCTTTTCACTGTTTAATTTTCCGAAGGGGAGGGTCAGGAGGGAGGGTTGTTGGGGGTATTGTACGCCATTGGGCTAATGGTTAAACCCTCGTAACCTGCCAGACATAACACCTAATCGTGGATGAAGCCTATTGCTTCTAATGAATAATAGCTAACGTTTCTTTATGTCTGACTAAGACCTTATTATACGTTCTGCTTTTTACAAAAAGCACGTGGGGGTTATGAAAGTTTGGGGGTTATTTTCCTTTTGCAAAAAAAAAAAAGTTTATGTGCCATAGAAGTTTTATAACTCATGTCTTACAAGGAGAGCAGCTGGTTCCTATGCAGTTTGCTATCTTTGGGAACTAGTGGGGTGATTGCTACCAACTTTTCATTTAATTTGATCCCAGATGTATAGTTCGAGATCAATGTAGAATGGCCCTTCTGCAGAAACACAGGGGGCAACAATAACAATGCTGTTGTTTGCAGACCTGCCCTTTTTTCTTGTTCTGCTGTACATGACAGCTGCACACTGTTATACATGGGGACCCATCATCTGGGCTGGAAAAAGATGATGGCAAAAAGATACAAATAAAAGGAGCAAAGAAACATGTGTAGTCTTTGTCTTCTCACAGGGGCTCCTCCGGTTGGGGCTGAGGGAGCTGACCGCTGCTGCTGACCCCCAAGTTGACTTCTCAGAGAGCCGCTACATTCCTGGTTAATGAGCCAACCAGCAGGTGAGTCACCTGGCAGAATCCTGTCTCCCCGAAGATGCATGTTCCATTTTTCCACTTCTTGTGTCCCAACTACAGCTTCTGGTTTTCTTGCCAACCTGAAAACATTCTGGAAACATTAGAAATAGCTGTTATACATTTTAAAATTCGGTAGAAAATCGCTTCTTGTGTGTTCTGAGTAGTTTGTGATTAATGGAGTGAGTGAGTCCACACTGTTATCCGGGTCCTCATTTCCTTTCCTCACAGGCCTCTATCTAAGGAAATGCCCTTAGCTTCCTGTCTTCACGGTGCTGTCTGGATCTCAGCACTCAGTGTTTGAACCCCGCGGCTGCTTCATGGGAAACATGTGGCAGTCTGCCTCTGTAAAGAGAGCCCGTGGCGCAATTCCACTCTGTCTTACAGGCCACTGTGTGCAGGAATTGACACGCTGGCAAGGGCACCTTATGGTGCTCTTCCTGGTAATGGCTGTGGGGATGTAGTGGCCAAGGACTCTTGGGCTCTCTCTCTGGGCTTAGATTTACTTTTAGAGTTAACTGTACATCTCCTGAGCTGACGGTTCAGTCAGGACTGGAATCTTCTTTGCATATTACAAACTATTTAAGTTTTTAAAAAAAGAGGATGCTGGTTTCTGTTTTGGAGCTGAATTTCTTGAGAAAGTTCGAAAGACTACTGCGTGTCAGGTTCAGCCTTCTATACCATGCTGTGAGGCTAGCCACTCCACCACTGGCCATCAGGTATCCTCTGACAGCCTCCTTGGCTATTGCTCAGTTCCTTCTGATTTGACCTCGCTTTGGGATTTGACACTGAATTTTAAAGCACTGTCTTCTTAAATCCTCTCAAGGGCCCTTTTTGGGCTGTGGCCTTGCACTGTGCTTCGTGGGTGTTCCTCCTGCTGGTAATCAGTCTCAGAAAGGTTTGCCCTAACGTCTAGTCGTCCTCTGCCTCCAGTCCTCTGCTGTCCTTTCACTGGTTTCCCTGGGGCAGTTGAGAGCCACACCCAAGACAGATGATTAAAGCTTGTCTGGAACTCTGATCTTTGTTTCAGGGGCTCCAAGTGCTTCAAGATCTCTCCATACCATTGATCGCAAGTCTCTTAAATGCAGAATGCCTCCAATAGAAGTCATTGCTGGTCTGCTCTAATCTGCCACTTCTCCTTTATCTGGACCTTGGTGAAGGTGCCCTATCAAAACTTCTGTCCTCCGGTTCAGCATCTACTTTACCTTCCGCGGGAAGTATCTCTAGCTTGCAGACAAACAGCCCCTCGTCGTCCTGGGCTGGTCTAAGGTTTATTTGCCCATTAATCTCTCCCAGATGGAGTTTGCAGAGGCTAGGCCTGCTCCATTTATCACCCATTCCCCAGGGCCTTTCAGAGTATTGCTTTGGGAATATGTAATTTAGTTCAGGTTTCTCATTCCATGCGTACTTCATGAGCTGCCCTTTCAGTTCAGAGATGGGCCTGGAAAAGCAGACTGTGGGCTTTTTGGCTCTGTAAACCCTGTTTCTACCAATCCTTGAATTGGTCTGCTTCAAGTTGGCCTAAGCAGCATTGGTGAGGTGCCCAGGGCACCTGATGGGGCAGTCGTCCTGATGTTCCAGAAGAACACCAACTTTAGGGCTTTGCTGTAAGGATTATAGGACAATCATACACCTGAAGCACTCAGGCTAGGTTTGGCCCTGGACTGAATGACCCTCCTCTGGCTCCAGGGTCTCAGTCCTGAATCCTCTTGGGTACAGTGTTAGGTTTGCCCAGGATGAAGGGATAGGGGAGGTAGAGCAGGTGCTGCACACTATGCTCTAGGGTTGGAAGACTTTCCTTTGGTCTGAAGTTGACCTTTCCACATTACGGTAACTGGTGGGGGAGGAATCAGGAAGAGAGGACATTGGCAGCACTCGAAGGACCATTTCCCAGTACTGCCGTTTGGGGGGAAGTACTTGCATTTCCTGACCTTTTCTTACACTGGCAAGAGAACTCTTTGTAGACAAGTGGTAGAGACTCAGACCCCATTGGCTGCTCTGGGCTTCTGAGTGAATCCCAGAGACTCCCCGAAAGCAAGCGAAAACATTATTCAACTTTACTTAAGTAAGTGAAGTCAGGAATGTTTGCTGCTGAATGGATAAAAACATTGTACATGCAGAGAAAATCCAACCACTTTCTATCGCTGCTGAAGTAGTCTATACTCCTGCAGGTAAAGTACCAGGGGTACCACCCCCAAAGTTATATAATTATTATTATTATGATTTTTTTGCAAAACAACCTTATCACCTTCAAAATACTCCCATTATACTTAATACATTTGTCAAATCTGCGATTCCATTCTGGGAAAAAATTTTTCAGACTCATCTGTTTGGATGGTTGACAGCACATCCCTCATTTTTTAATTCACCTCTTCTACATCATCAAATCGCTGTCCTTTCATGTCCCTGTTCATTCATGGAAACAAAAAGAAGTTGCACAGAGTGAGGTGTGTAAGATATGTGGGGCAAGAGAGGTGTGCACAGAGTGAGGTGTGTAAGATATGTGGGGCAAGAGAGGTGTGCTGTTTTTGCCCAAAACTGGTGCACTGACATGCTTGCATGAGCGGGTGCACAGTCATCGTGCAAAACCAGTCCCCTGTCTACCATAAATCAGGTTTTTTATCACACACTGTTAGGCAATCTTTTCAGAAGCTCTAACTAGAAAGCTCTAAATAGAAATTGATTAACAGTCTGACCTTGTGGAATGAATTCCAAATGCACTATGAGTCAACATTTTCATCCATTCTGGAAGTTGATGGGCATCCTGAATGAGGCTTGTCATCTGTCCTCATTTCACCTTTTTTGAAACGAGAAAACCACTCGTACACTTGAGTTTTTCCCATAGTACTATTCTTGTAAGCTGTGTTCAACATCACAACAATGTCTCTGGCATTTTTTCCAAGCAGGAAGCAGAATATTACCGCCGAACACTGTTTTCTTAAATTGGCCATCACATAAAATGAGGTTTGAGTGAAACAGCTTTTATGAAAAAAATTCACTGTGACCAGAGAGAACCTTCACAGGCAATGCCACTGGGTACACTAACTCAGAGAGAGTTGCTGAATGTGCACCTAGTGGGAAACATATGTACTATGACAGCTCCGCTGAGCCCAGCGCAGTTTTGTGTTTTGGGGTGTACCCCCATGTATAAGATTTCCCTTGATGGCACTACCTTACTGTTCATCTACGGACAACACAACACTATGATCGACAACACAGCACTATGATCGCAGGGACACCATGTAGGTAGTTACGTGCTGGGTGTGGCTTTGGGAGAGGGAAAGTGTGAGACTAAGATGAGCTGAAATGTAATAATTCTAAGTGAAAATTGAGTGCTGGTTTTTATTTTTCTGCTTCATAAACAACTCTTAATTTAAAAGTTGATCTTGTCTTACAAATTGACGTCTCTTTATTGGCAATGAAAAGAGAGTTGCTTGATGCTAAATTATGGCTGAAGTCACTTCCCTGTGTTTGAGTTACATTCAGCCCTTCTGATTACCAAGCTGTGTAGTAGAATGCTGTCTGAAAAAGACACCAGTGCCTTTTCCCGCACCAACCCTAAAATGTCAGCATATCATTAGCTACAAATCACCTCTTACTTGTCATTACAGATTATATCGACTCTTTAGTGAGATGTTGTTAGGGGCTTCTGGTCCTGTGCTATCCTTACAATATAGTGAGTTAGTTTATATAAAGTCCTTAGAGCAGTGCCTGCTCTTGTTTTATCACTTTTTTGGTTTGTTTTAACAGAACTGCATTTACATTTTACTTTTAATGATACATTTCTCCAAGACAAACTAATGGTATAATTTTCACAGTTGGACATTAAGACTCCCATATTCTTTTTTTTTTGGTCTATTTTTATTTTAAAAAAATCTTTTTATTGGGAGCTCACACAACTCTTATCACAATACATACATGTATCCCTGTGTCAAGCACATTTGCACATTTGTTACCATCATCATTTTAAAAAATTTGCTTTCTGCTTGAGCCCTGGGTCTCAGCTCTCATTTCCCCCCCTTCCTCCCCCATTCTCCCTCCCAAACCCTTGGTAATTTATAAATTATTATTTTTTCTTGTCTTACACTGACTGATGTCTCCCTCCATCTACTTTTCTGTTGTCTGTTCCCCCAGAGAGGGGGTTATATATAGATCCTTGCGATAGGTTCTCCCTTTCTCCCCCCACCTTCCCCTTCCCCTCCTGGTATGGCTACTCATTATTAATCCTGAGGGGTTTATCTGTCTTGGATTCCCTGTGTTTCCACCTCTTATCTGTACTTGTGTACATCCTCTTGTCTATCTGGATTTGAATTGAGGTCATGATAGTGGGGGGAGGGAGCATTAAAGAACTAGAGGAAAGTTGTATGTTTCATTGGTGCTATACTGCACCCTGACTGGCTCATCTCTTCCTTGTGATCCTTCTATGAGGGGATGTCCAATTGTCTACAGATGGGCTATGGTCTTCACTCTGCACTCCCCCTCATTTACATCGATATGAATTTTTGTTCTGGGCCTTTGATGCGGAGACCCCCATATTCTACATTAATCGGATTTTGTCTTGTTAGTTGAATTTTTGTTTGTGATAATTTTGTCTAGTTTTATAAATAAAATTAGGCTGATAATATCTAAGTATATTATGAATAACTTAGATCATAGTTTCCCAAACTTATTTGGCCTCTGCCCCCTTTGAAGAGAAAAATTACTCAGCACTCTTAAGCAATTAAAAGCTTTTGTGTTAATGCCACAATCCAGGATAAAATGTAGGTATTAGCCCGCCCTAGATCATTTGAGTACCCTCTTATGTGTGATGTCATCTATGCTGGGAAACTCTGGTTTAAAATAATAGATTTATTTTTCTTTTTAAAAGATCAGTTTTTTTAAATTAAAAAATCATTATATTGGGCGCTCGTACAGCTTTTATACAATCCATACATCAATTATATCACATTTGTACATATGTTGCCATCATTATCTTCTAAACAGTGATT